TTTGGGAAGTTCATGCAACTTGCCTTAATGCTAAATGCCACTTTCAACTAGTTTATCATGCATTTACAAAAGACAGTATGTCTCTACCAAGTCATTAAACCTTCCAAATTATGTATTCAAAAGACATTTCAATTATAAATTATATCATAGCATTAACTTATTAATGTAATGTTTTCAAATCCATTTTCGTTGAGATTAGTATACACTTAAAAACCTACGTGCACAGAAAAAAAATCAATAGTTTGGTAACATCTGAGAAATTTCAAAGAATCATCATATGAATCCGTCAGGATGTAAATTAAAATAAGCCAAATTGACCCCCTTAATATTACCGTAAAAATCGGCAATTAAGGTGATATGGAAATGTTTTGGAGGCATACTTTAACTTCTTTTACAACAACTTGTCTTCTTCAAAAAAATTTAAAAGAGTAATAACTAACTATCGCTTCTAATAATAATTACATTGTTAAGCTTTGAATAAAATTGATAAATGTTAATTGTCTACATGCATATGTTCTTGTAAAGCTTTATGCAAACAATGAAACAGATGTTCTTGAAACAGCGGTCTTTGTTTATTAATTTTTGCGTAGGATTTTCTGACATTGAAACTAGATGCAACAGTCTCTAGGATAAAATCTTAATCATTTTTATGACACCTTACATTATTTTGACCTACATACATTTGAAATCATTCAAGAACGCGTAACTGTTTATAGTTTATTGCGAGCACAAGTTCAATTATTGAAATAGATAAAGAGCTAGAAATACATTGTAGCATATAATGTAATAATACATTTTATGAATATTAATTTAAAATATTTAAATATAATACCAGTTGCTTAAATAAAATTTATAAACGTTCCGTCTGTTTTTAAGAAAAATTAGGTTCAATTTGCAAATTTAAGTTTTATCTCTAACCTATGATATGATTAAATCAGCTTAAAGACTTACAACAAAATTTAACGTTCTCTAAAAAACTTACAATGCCTGTGTGTATATAATACTATAAAATGTATTTTACATTGAGTTGTTTACATACTTAAGGCTCGTAAACGTGTATTACAAGAAAGAACATAGTCCATTTCGACATGTGTATATAGAGTAACTTGTAAACACATTTATATTCATTTGAATTTAAACTTCACAATAGATTTGTTCTTGTAAACTACAAGTATCATGAAGCAATTTAGATGGTATGGATTTCAGATAATGGCGATGAATGATGTAAAATTGTACCAGATGTCTAAATATTGCGTTTTATTACAGTAAAATAAAAAACTATGGGAATAACAAAATAGAAAATATCAGAGGAAACGCACTCTATTTTCAATTTGGCGTGAACGAATCAATATTTTCATATTTCGTTTATTTTCTTGGTTTTGGTATTAGATTCAAAATAATTTTGAAATATCACCAGGGATCATAGCAAGTTTTTTAGACACATGTGGATAGAAATTTCTAAACACATTGGGCGTGCGACTTTTTGTTGTTTAATCTAAATGGACAAATTCCAATATTATTTTTCAGTGCGAATCCTTTCTAAGAGTTTGTTTCCATTGACTTTTAAAATTATATCTTTGTTTTATCTCTGCGTTCTCTTATTTACATTCTACTCATTTCATTTCATTGCTAATAATTAAATACTTGTACATACACACATATGTGTTCTTAATTACTCGATATTTTTTCTTCGAGTATAATTCCTCGGTATAGTTCTATATTTGTCTATATATTACCATAGGCATTCTTTTTGTATTTCTTGTTTATATAGATTTAACCCTTTCCACTCGATATTTTTTCTTCGAGTATAATTCCTCGGTATAGTTCTATATTTGTCTATATTACCATAGGCATTCTTTTTGTATTTTTTGTTTATCTAGATTTAACCCTTTCCACTCGGATGCCGTCACTCCGTCGGCAAAATACGTATTAATTCTGCATTTAGCGAGTGGAAAGGCTTAAAACTTATGCATAATAGTTGCATTCAAGCTATGTTGTATTAATTTATGGACAACTATTGTAAGAGCAGAATCTTTAACATCGTCTCATACTGACCTTAACATTCCATGTACAAAATATAACGCAATTTATAAACAATTTATTAATAAAATAATGAATGTGATGTGTGTTGAACCTTTTAAGCTCAAAAACTAATAGTAGTCCAGTCATCTAAGCTTAAATTAGATAAGAATCTCGGAATTCGAGATACCCAGCTTGCAAATACTTGTATATTGATACCCTAAAGTTGTCTCAAAACCTATATATGGTAAGATGTCAATACCATATGTAGGTTTTGAGACAACTTTAGGGCGTCAATATACAAGTATTTACAGACTTACAGTTGGGTACCTCAAATTCAGAGGTGAACTTACTATAATGACTGGACTATAGTAGTTATTACGTTTTAATACTGCACTTAATCTGTTACGTGTTGCTTTAAATGTAGTGTCTGCACAAAATATATTAAAATATAATTTTGATATTTAGTTTTTAGTTTAGAACATTTAGTTTATTTTTTATGTATTTCTAAATTTGTTTTATTTTCTTTTCTTTTTATTTGCTGCTCTAACCACACAAACGCATAACTCTGCACTTGTATGATGACATGGTCGCCTACTTCTATGTTTGGTGATTTGGATAATTTGATGAACCGATGGCGCTTGAAATAAACTATTGACAATCAAATTAATGGAAAAACTTAATTATAACTACTAAAATGTTAATTGTTACTAAATTTTTATTAACGTTTGCTTGTACTCTTTTAATGCAAATTATTTTATATTCATATTTTTTTTATAATTCAATCTATTTTCCTTTTCTATTTGTGATAATAATCGTCAATTCCATCACTACTAATGTTTGCAACTATTTTATTAATATTTGTATTTAATTAATTCCAACAATTTGATATAAATTAATATAAATCTATTTAATATTTGCAATACTTTCTAATCAAAATTATTCCTAAAATTTAAATAACCTTCGATTTCTAATATTAACGTTTACCTTTTCCTTAATTTTGAAATGATAACCTCGGTGCATCAAACTAAATAAAATATGTGTTATTTGAAATGAAAAACTATGAAGACAACCCGTATCACTTAGGCACGACAAATTCTCCAACACCACGTGGGCCCTTAGAACGCTTTGCAGAGGCGGCGTTTGACCCTTTCAGGCACGCCGCCACTGCTCCGGTTGCATTAAACAACAATAGTTTCGGTTTGGCTACAGGAGGAGCTCAGCAGGTATGTTATGAAAATTATAGTTTTGTTTAATGAATAATTTAAATGTAATATATTCATATGAATATCAGCATGAATTAAGAGCTGTACTTATTAACTAAGTTTCACCAATAAATGCTAAGCAGGTACTGCTTCAAAATTTACTATATGAATTGCAACACAGCTCACTCGTAATCACTTTTTGAAATTTTGTAATTAAGCATGCAATTCTAGAGTGCCATGTGGTACGAGGTAATTACAAATTATAGAGGCACCTGCATATAAATGAAAGAGTACATAGCAAGGGCGACGTTATCAAAATGATACAAAATAAATAATTAAGGTTAAAAGTTCAATCATTCGTCAATAGACTGATTTACAATTTATATTTTGAAACAAGTGTTATTGAATTGGGACACCCTGCATGTGTTGCTGATGAATTCTAAAATATGAAAGAAAAATATTAAAAATTAAATTTAGTTATTTCAATGAAATCGTTTTTACATATTGATTGTTGCAATTGAAATTATAGAGTAAGAATAGAATAACGTTTTGCTTAATATAATTATTTTATTATCTTCTTCCAAAGCACGTTTTCAAATATGAATATATTCTGATGAATTTACTCTGTCTTACTGTCGGTTTATAAATTTGAACTATATATCAATATAAGATATAATTAA